GTGCAACGCAACATTGATGAAGCTGAAGTTGAGGAAGTAACGCCTCATGAGCAGATCAATGTTCCTGAAGACGCGCAGTCGTCGAGGTCTTCAAGAACATACGAAGGGGAAGATCAACATTCGTATTGGTTGGGTGCCAATGGATATATTAGACGTGACTATTTTGAGTGCGTAGAACAAATCAATACTAAGATGCAGCCACGGTGGCAGTGGTTTCTCCGTCAGACACGTTGGCCTTTCCGATTCGCTCCACAACAGATTGTTGATGTGTCTGTGCACGAGAATCGGATCCCGCCATGGCGAGCGAGTGTCGGACGTCTGCTTTTGGATGTCTGCAATTTTTGTGAAAGAAATCGCCAAATGCGAAATCTCATTCTTCTCGATCCCATGGTAAGTGTTGTGTTTTACTCATTGAATTATACTTGCTTGCACAAGATATATTGTTTTAGGCAATACTGGTCTTACAAGAATTTGAAAGCGAATACTTGGAGACTTTGAGCCTTTGGTGTGTCTTGAATATTATGTGCTATGATTTTATTTACAGGCGCTGTCACCGCTTTCGCCACTGCTAAATCTGATGCGGCACTCAATGGAACCAAATGCCCACCTGATTGGTGTTCTGTGGATGACCCCAGTTGATGCTCTTTCTCCCTTTTACCACGTGCCCATTCCACGACAAGAGGTGGATGATGAGGCAGAGGTGGAGCGCCCATACCCGCGACCACTTCATCTGCGACTGCTCACTCTGACAGCCTTTCTGTCCAATTGGCTTGCCTGGTTCTCTCGAATTGAGACCCATTCTTCACTGGGTGTATCTCGTTTTCCGCCAGCAGCTGTGTCCGACCCAGTGGCAGGATGCGTGTTGCGACCATACACTTTGGGTTGCGGTCAATCTCCCCTTCTCGATCTGTGGCCTCTTTGGTTGGCTCGACGACTGCTACTCCTGCCCTTCCATCTACCTCGACTGTTTGGCAGGCACCTCTCGCGACACTTCTTTCCCTTCACTGACGTGGACGAAATATGATGCCAATTACTTGATTCATTTATTTTTGCTAAGTCACTTGCTCTACGTTTATACTGATGGGTTTTTTATTTTTGGAGTTGTACCTCTACATATGCGTGATAAAATATCCCCAAACTATAAATTATTGTTCCGGTTTTTATTTGCGTATACAATCACTCCAATTTCCGTCGCAGTAGAATCATTCCTGTCAAACAGAAATCAGAACAAAATTAACGGGCTGGGAGAATGAACGAAAGTAGGGGTTCCATCACCGCAGAATACGGCAGGTGTCGCGCTACCTCGCAAGATTATTGACCTCGACATCGTAACTCGTGTCCAGTCGGGACAAAAATGTGCGAAACTGTGCTGACCGGACTTGCGGTGCATCTTTTAAATCATTGTCCATGCCTGTTGCAGTAAAGCTGTCTCATCAGTGAGCGTCACACATTTCGTCTTAGGTATGGAGATAAGCCACCATGTGGAGTAACATTTGTGGATGTACGTCGCCTGCTTGCAACAAATAATGATAAACTGTGAATTATCGATGTTGCAAACATTGAGTTAAAACCTGTGCTAAACTGGTATCGCTAGGTGTTTTGCTCATTGTTTTTACATATCCACAAAGTGACATTCAGCAAGCGAACCAGACTAGTTAGGCAATAATTCAGTGCCCATATTATAGGGGCCTGTAAACCTTGATAAACACATTGCTCCACTTTTTCGAATGGAGTAAAACTTCTTCGTTCGCCTCTTCTAGCTTCCGACACAGTAGGTGGAAGATAACTTAGGACATACCGCAAGGTAGATGAAAACCCTCATCACGATCAAGCACATTGGTCGACTTTGATAGTAACAGATTCTTTGCATCGATTGAAATTTATCGAAAAATGAAATGTCAATCAACTTCTACACCTTGTCTCTGTCTTCAATCACTGGAACATTTAACATGAACTTGATTGCTGCGTATATTCAATTAGCTAAACTGGAATCTTCCATGCTTGCACAGACATGCGAACGCCATTGGCACATTTGTCCCAAAACAGCGACATCTGAAGTGTGTCAGCTGGTTTCATCGTTGCATGATTTGACGCTGCGTGCTGTTGAACTATTCCAGCAATTGCCGATCTGCACGTAAGCACCCACACGCAATCACAAAGGCTTTTATGGTAACCGCAGTTAAAATAATGATCGTGCTAAAAGCTAAATTGTTGGTACAGCAGGGCCAAAATTTGAGCACAGTTGTTTCATTTACTTGTCTGATCACATAAGATCCAAACTGATTTAAAAAAAACTTACGATTAGCAAAACGCTTTGGTGAAGATCATAAGAGTGGTTTACATGGCGTTAGTTTATATGTGTCAATATTTTTATACAGCGTAATCTGGGTATGTGAGATTCTTCAAGGACAAACAACTTATGGCCACCTCCACTGATTGTAAAGCACTTTTCTGCGCATTTCCATGACTGTCCTGTTTTCTTAACCAATATTATCACTGCATCTGACTCACGTGCGACAGTTTACCGCAACTTACTGCGAGGTTGGCGTTTTTGCAGCTTCTCTAATCAAAGTGTAGGTTGAGAAGAAATGCGTCAGTTTAATTCTAATGCTCGTGTGAAGTCCCTAGCAAAGTCTACTGAGGTCTATACACGAAAGGCCACAGGCGAATCAACATCAGGGTGCGATCTACATGTGACAAATTCTGGCTTCCCGAAATGTACTCTAAATGAATTCGCATTAATATTACGCGTGATGGTGCAAACTTACGAACTTAGTGGTGTGGATTTAGCCTAGTTCCGGATAAAAGCACTGTGTGGCACACATGTGGGAACATTAATGACTGTAGACGTTTAGTTATTTAGACCAGCTGTCATCAGTGTGGCGCGGAGATGGACTCGTGAAATTTACACTGCAAAACACAACATTTCAACCTGTCCTTGCAATTGTAAACTTCTCATTCATAACTTTGGAATTTCTCTTGAGGCCTGACTTGGTTAAAAACAACACCATTCGCTCACTTAAACAGCCCCAGCCTGATTGCAAGAATTCAAATTTCCTGTGTCATGTAGTGTCAAAGACCATACTGGCATTATTTCTTTGCTCAAACCTTAGGATTGACTTATTGTTAATTGTGAAATACTGCAAGCTATCTCTTCCACTTGATGATAGAAAACAATAACCCAGTTTAAAAACCGCAAGTCAATGAGAAAAGCTTATTAACACTCCATAGTGTAGGTTCACTTCCCACCACATTGCATGGACACGAATAAAATTCTTTGACTTGTTTTCTAGTTCAACCATTTGACAATAAGTGGTAATTAATAAGTGGTGATAATTAGTGGTGTATATTTTGCAAAATGTGGAAGTGTTAATTGCCATTATATATCTGAATCAACAGGGAATCGAAGATTAGCATAAGAAACAGCGTTTTTGCCGAACACGGCTGTATCACCTTCTCATTCTATATTGTCATCTTCCTGCAACTGAAAATATGAAATTAGTGGCACGTTTCCAAGAAATGGTATTCATTTACTACGAACAACGGATTGTAACTTCCTACGCTCACTTTTGTGCACGGTGGCAAGCCACGACACATTGATGGGACCATAGTGTACAATCCTTGATAATTATACTTAGGGGCACACGCGTCAAATATTTGCATTAACCAGATACGCAAACGCATTGTGGTGAAAGTGATATAATTTGTGCAGTCAAATGTGCAATAAAGGATCGAAAATAACTGCCTATATAAAAACCAGTGACAGACGAAACCGTGTGGCAACCGGTCAATACAAATAAATACTTTCCACAGTAATCGCAAAACTCAAGTGAACACAACTGACCGATCCTAGATTTGGTTACAGCAAAGTCTTTAGTAGGCAACACACGTCGCAGACCGTGAATGCAGAGGCAGGGACAATGGAAGGAGCTGCAATCTCTACGCTTATTTCCTGCACGGCCTCCTCCACATCATTTGCATCGTCATTGCTGACATTCTCTTCCTCATTCAGTGGACCACATCAATTGGTCTCGGCCCATTCGCACCAGGCTTCGTTTCGGCACAAACTGTTAAGCATACGCAAGCAGACAAGCCAATACCCGCATCGTGTTCATCGAGAAAACGACTCTGTTCTCCAGCTACCCAAATTGTTATTTGGCAAAGCGAAATTCGGATTGCTGTCGAGCTAAATAAGAGTCTATATGCGTCTTGCAGACTGCAATATCTCCAACTATAGCCGACACCAACACAAAAAACATGCCGGTAGGTTATTGTAATTGTATTCTAAATAAGCTCATTGGTGACTTATTGAAACCGCACACAATGCACACGCCAGTAGATTTTAAAGGGAGACGATTTCACGCAGCATCAGTTGGAAAGCCGATTGATCACTTTTCTGCACTTATTGCAAAATAAGATCCCACACACACATTAGCCATTCATTAAGGAGATTTAGAAAACTTCGTCGATTCGTTGTCTATATTGGGATGGAAGATTGGTGCGTCAAATGTCGCCTGTGGACCATCACTCGGATACGACATTTTTAACAAAAGATGCGCTTATAATGAACTTATCAATTCAAATACCAGCAAATGTTCATGTACCTTGCAATTAGAAAGGCTATTAGTTTGAGACCATTAGGTTTCGAAATATCAAAATAAGCGCAAGTACCTTTACTGATTACTTAAATGCGGCTCCTTTTATCAGCTTGCAACAAATAGTTAAAAAGTAAACAAACTGATGGCTTTGTTTGATGAGTGCATATTTCGACACTCAGAGCAAATGTAGTTAATAACTTGCATGAAACTCCAAACTGTGGCGTTTGAGTGCAAGATCGAGACTTTGCTGCTCTGAAATTTGACAAACCGCCATGAAATACTGGATGCGCAAACCGTGAATTGACCTTAAGTTGTCATCAGATATGATGAGAAAGATTTCGTTGAAATTGAATAAAGTGAAATACTGACGACCACCCCAGTCAGCTATGGCATTCCTGGCTGCATTGTTCAGTGTCAATAAGCTAGTCATCGCACGCCCACACTATTTTAATATGCACAGAAGTACACACGAAAATATTTATTAGAAACAGTCGTTTTTCAAAGACGTTGCTTGCTTGTAGCCCATTGAATTCCTCTACACGGGCTCAAAATCCCGTTCCTCCAGTCGCTGACAAAACAGCCATTGCGTCCAGCGCCACCACACAAGCTCTTCCTAAAGGAAGGCATCAGCGTTCTAACCGTTTACTCTGCGCACGATCTTACTTAATTTTACCTGTTTGACAACGTACTTGGTCTGCACGAGGGCAATTAAACGAGTACTTTATCCCTCCTATTTGTCATCTTGCTGTCGTGGACTACTAAAATTATGTGGACAGAAGCGCTTTTGCCACAAATTCCAAAATCCAATTACATTGTTTTGGAAAGTCACGAGTTAAACTTTTACTTGTAATCGGCAAACACGGTGAATATGATTCAACCACCCTACCGATGATTAGGACAACACTAGTTATTCAGGCCCATCGTCGCGACACATTTTCAGGATTACAAACTATGGCAAATTTCCGAGACCTATTGTTGCATATAAACCCTTGAGACGACATTATTGTTTAAAATTTGCCTAACAATTCTCAAGTTGCACTTTCTAAGACCACAATGTAACTACGTAAATTCTAGTACCGTCTATTATTTGGCGATGTAAGTGTTTTTGACAGAAGCATTTAAGGTCAGAATTACCTCAATTCTCGACATTATCTAGCGTGCCTAACCGCTAAAATGCAAAAGTAGAATTTGAAGCGCGTGCGAATATCTAATACTGGTTCAGAGTCCAACTAATTCGCATTAAAATTTGGAGTCCTTTTAGAAGCATTCAAGGAGGCGAGTCAATAGAAATGCGATTTTTCGTCTCTGTTTCCTCTCATGCTCACATGTTGGTTCCACTGCTTATGTTCCTGTTAACTGCAGAATGCACCCATGTGTGCAAATAGTCCTGAAGTAGATCGGCAGTCCATCAAGAACTGGACAAGGCGAATTCATCTTGCGTTCAATCAGAGTGCAGTTGAGCATGAATGCATGCCTAAAATGTGTGGTTTAACAAATTTTATGTTCTCTACTCCTTGCAGGTATTCGTCAAAAATAAGATGCTTGGTCGAAGCAGTTTGTGCGTGCTTTGCGACAGATAAACGCACTTCTAATCCTAATTGATTTTCTCCTAGTGTGTCTTTCGCGAATGTATTTTCAGCTTCTTAAATGTTAATATCTGGCATTGGGACCAACTTTGTTATTTGTAGACAATAAACATTGAAAAGAGCTTCGCTGTTTGGACGGTATGACATGCTGATCCCACAAAGAAAAGAAGACGGTGAAGAACATTCGGAAGCGCTTAGGTGTTTTCCACTTTGAACACTTTGAACCGTATTTAACAGTGAAATATTTGTAGGAAGCCATCGGTCAAAAATATGAATTAGAACAACGGATTTTAAATCAGAAGACCAGCCTGTAAATTGCACACCACTTACATTTGCTGAAATTCTGAGGTCACACGGCTTAGTCTACTATGTTTTAGGTATCTACAGCTTTGATTTTAGAGGAAAGCAGCTGTTTAGTGACAATGCCAGAAAATTTAAAATAAATTAGAATCACTCATTCACACAAGCCATTACGGTTAAATTTTAACCAGAAAACTATATTCAAACTTAACAATAAATTAAACCTGTTCGGTTGCACGTGCGCAGTCATTATAGAAAAACACGATGCAGTTACAGAACTACTCAGAGCCTTTTTGAATGGGTTTGCTAGCTAACAGATAAGTACCAATACCAATATTAAATATAAGCATAGATTAGACTAAAAAATTAAGTAAGTAAATGTGCCTATGTAAAGTCACTCATGCTAGGTCAACAGGTTAGAATCTGAGCAAAAAAAACAAGGATCCAGGTCACAGTGGATGTGCTCCTATGTGCATTAAAAATTTACATATTTTGACATCAGCTGAATTATAGAAATGTCTGCAGCAATGATACGGTCTTCGAATGTTAATTTTATTGAAATACCATTTCAAATCGACTCAATTGCAATAGCTGGACCGTTTTATTTCAGCTTTCCGGGAAGAGTTGCCATTCGCAGACTTAAAATGTCGGAGAAAATTGCTGTTTACAACTTCATTCTTCCGGTGAACATTTGTTCTGATCGAGTGTTAAGGAGAACTATTAGGCAACCTCTTTGGGTTGAGCGTAACACTTCATCAGATTAACATTTAACTATTCATCGTGACATTGTACTCTTTCTAAAAATACTGACTTGTTTGGAAACTAGAAGTCTTGAGGTATTTAGGTTTAGGTTTGCAGGCTTCTAAAATTTTGCATTAATAATTTTGTTTGCCGTATGTGATGAATGTCATCGTCTTTCACTTCGACATACATCAAGGATTTATCAAAACGATTCCAATGGGTAGATAATCAAATAACTACAAGGAAGCAAAGACCATTGCAAGAAGGATAATAAACCTGTAGGCATAGCAAATTAGCAGTTTGATTGTTATTACAAATGGGCTTTTGACAAACGTAGCTCGGGTGCATTAATTCAAATCATGGTATGGTCGTCGGACTCATATCACCATCATGTCTTTTAAAAACACTTTACGATTTCCTGCTAGTTTTTGACCAGTTTACCTTAGCCCAACTTTCTGGTATTTTTGCTACTTTTATTTAAAGAATGCTCCAGTAATGTGAACAAACGAGGAAGGCATAAAAACTGAAAGGATTTGAGTGTGCTGAAAATGTACTAAATAGTAATTGGGCAGTTGATACATAAAAACGCGTCCAAAAGTACATATTTATGATCTGTCAAGATAATTGGTCAATAAGTGCAAAAGCTAGAGCGTGTTAGATATTGGGACTCTTCCTGCAATTCATTTAAAAAAGTATTCCTTACATTAAAATGGAAGATCAAATTTGGCCTTCACTGCACAACTAGTTTTATATGTTGGCTAAAAGTACGTAGTCAGGTTAAAATGTAGCTTTTCAGGACAAAATAAATGTTGTTTTTCGAGCTTTTCACAACAATGCAAATTAGACAGATCGGGAAATGACAATGCAGTGTTTTGCAAGAGAATCAAATTAAGTTTAAAATGCATTTTAATTGCCAAGATATAGTCGTGATTATATTTTCTTTGTGCTGCCTTCTCTTCGTGCATTGCGAATTGTTGCGGAGGTTTGATTGCTTCCCTTTAACCTTGGCCACACTCCGCGGAATTCGTAAGTGGTGTAAAAGTGTGGCTGGTGTAGCCTCGTTCGTCTTGTCATTTACCTGAATAAGATGGAGACAGAAGGTTGTTTCATTTTAGTCATTTACTGATGTTTATTTTATATTCAGAAAATTCCTGACGAATATACTCTTTCCAGTACGTTGCCTAATTGAGTATTCGACGTTCCAAATGTTTAAGTTAACTTGACGAAATCTGATCATCCTCCCAAACAGGAACAAGTCATTTTAAATGCATAATTTGCATCTTAGGATTTTAATGTTTTTTTGGTACATTGTTTGGCTCTATTATAAGTAATGTATGTAATGTAATCTCAGTAATGTGTTTGCTACCAGTAAATTCTAGTCGCGTTCGGCTTGTTAAGCTTTTTCTATGTAGCGACAAATTGATATCCAAACGACTTGGGGTTTTGTAGCATAGGTTAGAACACAAGTTGATTATGGTGTTTCAATATTCCAGTGAACCCGTAACTACGTATCTGTGCCTATCCAAGCAAATTATTGCCCCATCCACTGTTTTTTTTGTAGAATGTCTCATTCAACGGGTCAGCGCTCATTTTTCAAAGATCTTCAGCAACTCTTTCGCACGATTGACACCTCAACTGACGGTCAAGCCTCCATAGTATCCGTGAATGAATTGTCAGTGATTGTGTCGTTGAATCCGAAATTTGGTCTCAACGCACACGCCTCTTTTATTGTCAATGTGAGTGTTTTTGAATGATATCATGACAAAATATGTGCTTTTCAAATGACAACTGTGCCTTTTGATCATTTTATGAAAACCACATGTGTTCTAATACTATGCAGACGGTCTCGAAAATTACGAGTACATGGAACTTAGAGAGTCAGTCACATAACTGCCCGATTCATTGCATGTTTATTTATTATGTCAACATAGATAAAATGATGAGATGAAATGTGCATAAGTTTGAGTGGCCGTTAATAAGGTGTGTATGGTTTCTTTTTACTAGTTTTGTTTCATAACTGAAGTGCACTTGCGAAATATTTTCAACAGATTACAGTGGGTCTGCTATTCTGTGCATATTCGATTCGTCGAGATTTGGTGCGGGTGGCTTCACGGTCTAAGTGATAATCTAAACAGCTTTAACACAAATTGTTAAGGAACGCCGTTAAATGAAAATAACGTCAAAAATGGTTGAACTTGGTAAAACATTTGTATTTTGCATAACCGACAAAAATAACGTAAACGGCATTTTGTTCATTTAGATTTTTTCATGTCTTGCAGATTGATTGCCCTTCAGCCTATCCCAAAGCCGGCCCTGAAGTCCACTTCATTACACCAATCTTTCATCCCAATGTCTACAATGGTGATGGTAGTGTTTGCTTAAGTCTTCTCAATGAATGGCATAGGTACGAATTACTTCAAGTTAGCATGAAGTGTTGAGTCAGCTGCTCTGTCGTTTCCGTCAGACATATTTTGAAGTTGAGAGGTTGTTAACAAATTCACAGTAGACTTAAGGGCTGTGTTGCCCAGAATTCAACCCCTACTTGAGCACTTCTGTCTGCGATGCCCATAAGCAACGGACACTTATTTTTGCATGAAGCTTCACGACTGTTTAATTGTAGCGTCGATGTCGCTGCAGTTTTCCTAGAGGCTTTTACACTTCTCTTGTTTCACTTATCTCAAATTCGCAAATTGACTGTGGGAGTTAGTTGAGCAATGTTGCTCGACGCGTCCATCAAGCAGTGTGTTGATATGTCGGTGCATGTAAATTTTAGCTGTCATAGCCTGTTGGATGTGGTCAAGGCCCTCATCTACCTCATTGAACATCCAAATTTCGAATCAACAAACAACGGCTTCGCATCTGATGAGAAGCTGTTTGACAAAAAGACATTGCGGCTGCTGGCAGGTCTGCGTGTAAATGGGCGGCGGTTCCCGCCTAACCAAGCCTGGTGTGAGTGGGCAGAGGCCAATGGATGCCTGCCTGTTGATGATGAAGAGCTTGACGATGATTCAACTGACGTCGGAGATGCGGTGCATGTGGAGACCCAACAGGAGCCAAACAATCGCATTGAGTCTCTACCTGGCGTTGCAACCTACTTACATGATGCAAGTCAATAGTCATACTAGCATCGTGGTTTGACGTGAACTACTAGTGCTAGATGGGACATTAATTTGCTAATTACTAAAAAAGTGTTTGGTGCCATTGGTTGGCGTTTGTGTAATCTCAGTTCAGCTTAATTTGGGTTTGTCAAAGCCACTTCAAAACAATGAATTTGTTAGAGTTGTTTTTG